GATTTCTCAACAGAAACCATGCAGGCAAGAAGGCAATGGGGAGACATATATAAAATCCTGAAAAGAAAACTTCCACCCAAGAATCCTCTACACAGCAAAGCTGTCAATCAAATATGATGGTGTAATCAAAACATTCCAGGATAGGCAGAAGCTAAGGGATTTTACCAAAGCCAACCGTGCTATGAAAAACATCCTAAAGGAAGTTCTGTGGACTGAGAACCAACACGAACACACAACAACTACAGAATGACGTACATGGCAGCATCAACCTGAACTCAGTCGACAAATGGAAGAGTTAAGAACACAGTAAAATTACAAGAACGGAGGATCTGGGAGGTCAGTCTATGATCAAAACAATTACAGTGTGAAATAAATAAAAAGAGAGGAATAGAGATCCAGGTAGTGAGATCAAATAGATTACAGGATAAAATAGACCGTGTTAAATGGAGGGAAGAGTTAATGGAATATAAATTTCTAAGATTCTAGAAGTTCTATTTTTGGTGCAAGGTTTCTGAAAATTATCATAAACCACTTAAGCAAAAGAAGTGTTTGCAACAATCTAGAAGTGCATTTCTAGCATTAAAAATTGATATTTAAAGATATCAGTACTAGAATTTATGATTTGTTTGACCTTTAGACAAAAACAAATATCTCTAATTCTTGTTAGGCATACCCAAAATATTCCTTAAATCACAATTCAGAACTTATTATCTCTATAGAAATATGGCAGTTGAAAATAGCCAAAAATTGAGATCATTTTTGTACTTGTTGAGACAATTTGCTCCACAGCCTGATGAGAGCAAGATGTGTAAGCAAACACAAATGCCAATAAAATAACTGACTTGAATAATAAACTTGAATTGCTATTTAAGAGTGGAATATTAGTGATTCTCATTCAAGTATGATGCCAAATTATCTTTTAACCTCAGCATAATATAAAACAAAAGCACTTTTATTTATTTTGTGGCATTACTCATTTGAAATATTTAATTTGCATTTAATATTAGGATTATGTGTTTATACCTGAGTTTTAGATAGCCTAACATTTCTTGTTAGCATGATTCCTGGTCTTGAATTCTAGTTTTTAAATTTAAATATTGATGAGTGTTTCTTTTCTTGATTTGTAAAAGATATATGTATATTTGATTTTAATGCTCTTCCACCTGAAAATATAGTAGATATTGCACCTTTCCTGCATTCTGGTTTCCCATTTATATCTAGATGAGCCCTCCTACCTGATTGATACAACGTCAACCATCACCAGCTGTGCCACTGTAGAAAGGCAGAGTGATATGCTTTTGTAAAAATGACAACTTTGGAACACAGTGTGGCAATTCTACTGTGTTTTACAAGGTCTCTAAGAATTGAAATTGACTAGATGGCAATGGCATGGCACTATTAAACAGAATATAAATGTATATCAATTGTGCAATTAAAAAGCTATAGGATTCTTTTCTTAATAAAAGAGAATAGTTATATGTTTCTAAAGCAAAAAAAAAAAACTTTAAATTTTATTTATGCCAGTGATAAAATGAGATCGAACCTAAGCTAATGTATTTTTCATGTAAATTTCCAGGACACACTTATTACTGTTCTATAACTTAGTATTTCTCAGAAAATCCAACATGAATACAATATACACAAATGAAGGGTGTTTTGTTGTTGTTGTTGTTTGTTTTTTTAAAGAAAAAGCATTTATCTAATGACTATATATGCAATACCTTGTTGTGTTGTTGTTAGCTGCCTTCAAGTTGGTACCGATTCATAGATGCCCTATGCACAACAGAATGAAACACTGCCCGGTCCTAGGCCAGCCTCAAATAGTTGCCACGCTTGAGCACATTGATGCTGCCACTTTGCCAATTCACCTCACTGGTGGTCTACCTCTTTTTCTCTGACCCTTCACCTTACCAAACATGATATCCTTCTCCAGTGACTGGTCCCTCCTGACAATATGT